AAAAAAAAAAGATTTTTCGAGAAAGAGAACTGCAGATTTGGCTAAAGATTTTCTGCTGACAGAAGCAGTTTTTCCACGGCGTTAGATTGTTTCTAAGGTATTTTCCGAATTTCTTTGAAATTTCACAGCCTCTTCCATATGAACAGATCATCTTGTTTTTCTTGCGCAAGCTTATATGAAACTTACTTTCCTCGGTTTGGTTTCATGCCCGATTTCTAATCAAAACCTATCCAAAAGTTTTGGTTTTTGCATTTCTCTATTCGATTTTCGATTGTGTCATAAGAAAGTCTTCCCATATGCATAACAAAGCTCCTGAATTTTTGGAGAATTCAAAATTTGATTGTTTACAAGCACAAACAAATCACTTCCACAATTTCGTAACGTTTGTTCAGACATTTTCAACAAATCCTTTATAATTTGGTCCGAGACATATGTTCCGTAGCCTAAGAGATCCAGCCCCGTATACTTGCTGGACTTTGAATAATAATGGTTTAAGGAAAATTTTGCCTTATAATAAAATTGACATTCTTAGTTCTCCTCCAGAAAAAAGTACGTATTCCATTTCAGCCAGTAGTTTCCCACAACAATCTTCTTTCAGCTTGAAACTTTGAGGCAGAACTTTAGAATATCGCCGACATATACTGACCCTCGGAATTTCGAAGCATACACAAATGAAAACCAATTATTTAGTTTCAGTTGAGTGCTTATCGACGAGCATGGTGGGCTCTATGGCTCTTGGTAGCCATTTTGGCAATTGTGGTTTGGGGGATCGTCATCTATGCCGTTGTCTCGAAAGGAAGCAGCCCACGAAACAAGCCCTATGATAATATCGTAATTACGCGATGATATCACAGATTATCAATTATGTTATAATTTCTCTAACTATTAATAAACATAAATAAAACCTCTAGCTTTTGTGGGGGAAAACTCGGTTTTTGGATCATACTTCAAAATTCAAGAAGCTTATACCAAATGGTTTCTAGTTCCATACAATCATCTAGTTCTTCTTGTTTCAAGAAATATGATACAGGTAAAAAAGCTACTTGATTGTGCGGATGAAAACCACAACCATAGCATTTTCTTGTTTTCATGATGTGAATAATTGGAATGATTTATTTTATCACAGAAATGCAACAGCTCAATCCAATGCTGTAAAGCCAGCAGTATCCAGCTGTGACTAATTCGAATTATGAGAAATTTAACGAGTGCAAAAATGCTGATGAGGCGAGTATAAAAGTAACAACTTGAGATAAAATAAATAATTTCAAACGATAAAAAGGAGTGAGTAGGTCTAGAAATTGCAACTCATTAAACAGAGCTAGGGAATTACCATTGAAAGCTGTTTGATGAAGGTACTCAAACGCTCAAACCAAGTGAATAAACATAAATTTGAGTGCGGTAGTAGATTGAAACAGCAAAGCGAGATTCAAAATTCTGAGATGCTTGTATGAGCATAAAGTCGATGTCTGCGAACCGCCACAGTGGCTCTACTTCGTAATAAGCTATTCCAGATCTGAAATATATCTATTAGTCAAGCAACAGACAAAAATAGAGAACGCGAAAAAATCATCCCATGGGAGGGTTGTTCAGAAAATTACCTTTCTCACTGGACAAGCATGATTTTGGCACCGATCCATATCACACAGAGGTTGCCGCATACAGTGACTGCAAATTACACGAGCCATTGCTTGTAACCGCTGTTCGCGGCTTAGGGTATTTAACGCAAATTGGAAAGCTGAATCGAGTTCGACGCAGAATGAGCACCATGGATCGCTGCCAGCAGTTAGGCATCCTGGTCTGAAACAGGACAGATGCGGTAGATGTACGGTGAAGGGTCAAAAGCTGTCTTCACAAAGGCAGTGACTCAGAAAGATTGCGATGCTGACTTTCCACAACTACATGGCCTTTTGGACCCTGAGTCCAGTACTGTGCGAGAATCCAAAAAGTGTTTTCTGGCGTTTTCCGGCCTTGAGGATTGCTGGAGGGGCGGGACGAGGGATAGCCGCCAAAAGGAGCAGCTGGGTGCAAGAGACTGTAACTCCACCTATTTTGGCGGGAACTGGCTGATCAGCCCAAGCAGCCAATTGCGATAAAGTTGGGGGCATACCTTCGATAGTCAAGAGATAGAGCTTGGAAAGTGAT